GAAGGTACCATTCTGTTCAAGTTTTGCATGTCATATCAAATCAAGTCATTTAGTTGTCTTGAGTTATCGACGAAAGGGATAAGTAGTCAGGATAGACAATATTGTAATATTTGGTAGTGGTCCAAAGTTGAATGAAGCACCCAACTATATTACAATTACTAGGACTTCTTTATGGAAAACAATATGGTTACTGAACAGTAACTGAGTAAAACATATCCAGTCATCATTAGGGGTATGGTGCCAGCTGAGTCATGAATTTTCCATGAGACTGGAATCAATGCAATCCAAAGAAACTGTTGCACACAACTTTTTCATTCCAAGAAAGATGGCGGGTGCTTTCCATTCAAAAATAATAATAAATAATAAAAGATAAAAAGTAGTCAAGATCCCAAATTGATCCCTTAAGTTCAGATTAAACTTCATCTTGCACAATCAAGGATCATTTCTTCACAATATGACTAAGTCACTACATTATTTTCCAGAAAGACCTTGTAATTGATAAAAACTGCAGTGATCAAGATTCATCACATTGGTTGACCGGACAGGGTAACAATTTTTTTCCAGCAACAAAAATTCAGAAAAACAATCAACATTCAGACAAGTGTGTTAATAATATAACAACCAATTCTTAGAGAAAATGAATCACCTTCATGTGAGGCAGCAGGCTTTTGTCAACAGCTTTGGCTATTCGAATAAATGATGTGCAAATCTGCAACCTTGCATGTCGGGAAATACTTGTTGATGGGTCCTGCAAAAAAAAAAAAATCAAATGGTTGAAAATTCCACAGCTAAATTCTCTTTACATTTATTAAAATTCAGAGAAGAGATATATTCACAATTTCACATATACGTACAACAGTACCTTCAGTACAAAGGGCAATGAGGTTAGAAGCTCAAATAGTTTGTTGATGACACTGCCAACCGCATCAGGGAAATACTTCAAAAAGGGACCCAATGCATCAAAGTAGTGCCCAAGTACTACCACAAGTTTAGGTTCAGTCCATTTCAAAGAAAGAAGTTGTTGAAGTAAACCTTCAGTTCACAGTAAACAGGGTATCACAAAGCCATAAGATGAAAAGTAAAAAAACTAATGATAAACTCAAATGATGTGCAAAGAAGTCCATGGAAAACCTTCAAATATTCTGCACAATGCAATTTGAGTTTCAGAAAAACTCCCTCCAAATTCATTTGATCCATCAAAAACTGCACTAACAATGGTCTCCAAAGCCACTTGCATGCTTTCCATTACAGCCAATTCCTGGAATTGTCAAATGATAAAGATTGTGCTTTTTAATATATTTATGTTAACTTCCACAAGCATGCAACAAATCAGAAATTCTGAAAAGTCCCAGAGATTAAAATTCCAACATCTGAAGCCACCATGAAAAAGTCCAATAGAAGTATAACCAAACCTGTGCAGGCACTGCAGCAAGCAAGATACTCTGGATAATCGTAATTATTCTCTCAGAAACCTTAGAAGCAGCTATAAAGGGCTTAACAGAAGCGACAAACCGGATCAGCTCCAACTGCATCGAGGGTTAGAGCATCAATAAAAAAACAAATGAGGAAAACTATAGTTTGAAAATTAGGGTAAATATAAAGCTCAATTGAGCTAAAATTTATAGTAATGAACAGGATTCACAAGATGGGCATGAGTAACCAATTGGCCAAAAAGAAATGTAAGTTCGCATCAAATGAGAAGAATTGTTTAACTGCTTTAGTGTAATAGGTACTGACATGTATTAGAAATTTCCTTACAAGTTTAATTCAAACGTATCCTATATTTATTATTTGACTACGATTGTTTAATTTTGTGGGACATTGATACTTTGAGCAATTAATCACATGATTTCAGATTGTTGTGGTTAGAAATGTGAGGAAATTAATTAATAAAAATGCTATGAATCATAAAAAATATTTTAAACTTTATCTTGAATTAAATTGTATGGTGTTAATTTAAAATTTGTATGGTTTAAATTTTATCTAAAATAATTATAAACTTTAGATGTGTTTTTTAAAACAATTTTCTGAGTAATTTTTTCAAAAAAAATTATGATACTGCAGAGGCCAAGTTTGGGAAGACTAAATAAGTGCACTTTTTGTCTTTTTAGACTAAAAAGTTGAGGTTGAAAATATGAATGTTTGGGTTAACTTTTTAACTTTTTATAGAAAAATGTGTAATAAAAAATTATAAAAATTAGTTTGTAGGGGAAAATTAGAATTGGGAATTATGCAACCATAATTATTGACTTTTAATGAATAATAATAACTTTTTAACTTTTTAAATAATTTTTTAATTTTTTGACTTTTTTTAAACTATCCAAACTTGACCTTAATAAGTGCCCTTCTATAGAAGCAATTGGAAGATATTGAATTGAAGAGCAGCTTTCAGAGTCAATGTGGGTCCCTTTCAAAACACTGATGCATCCTTTGGCTTATATCTGGCTTCGGAAACAATAGGTAAGTTCTTATTTTCACCTCAATTAATTTAAATTGTGTTTATATTTTAAAAAAAATAAAGAAAATTTTAAGTAAATTAGTTTTTATCTATTCACTCTTCTATTTGTAATTTGTTTTCTAGAAACTTGAAAATAAACAAATTTGATATGAAAAACTTGTTTGACATTGTTTTTGAGAAAAAAATTAGGGAAAATTCTAGGGGATACAACTAACACATAATTTATGTTTATAAAAATATAATTAAACAATGTAAAAATAAACATCTATATAATAAGGGAGAAGGGTTTTTGAAAAAATATGAAATGTATCTCTGATACATTTCATTTTAAGGGCTCAGATCAATTGTTATAAACATCAATGGTTGAGAGGATGCTTCAATTCCCGCCCAAACACTCGGTGCTCTCTCCCTCTTCCACATACCCACTTCATTTTAAGGGCTCAGATCAATTGTTATAAACATCAATGGTTGAGAGGATGCTTCAATTCCCGCCCAAACACTCGGTGCTCTCTCCCTCTCCCACCTACCCACGTCTCTACCCATTCCATCTTTATCTCTCTCTTTCCATCTCTGTTGCACGTCTCCTCCCATTCCCTCCTTATCTCTATCTCCTTCTTTGTTCGTCTTCTTTATCTCTCGCTCCTGACGCTGCCTCTCTCCTTCTCCCCCCTCCTCTCTCAGTGGCTTGAATTCGTAACCCTCCCACTCGCTGCCTTGGACCTCGTCGTTACCACTTTCCCTCTCTCTCTTTCTCTCTCTCTCTCTCTCTCTCTCTCTCTCTTTATGCTTCATGTATTGATTTTTCATTTTTTAAATTTCCTGGATATCATTTTTTGAACCCCAATTGGAGCTCTCCGTTACCACTCTGCCTCTCTCTCTCTCTCTTTCTCTCTATGCTTCATGTATTGATTGTTATTTATTTTTCATTTTTTGGGACTGAATTACCTATATCTTAATTTTATTTGCTTCAACTGTGTTGGTGCAGATACAAAATAAAGCAAGCATCTCTGGATTGCATGATAAAGGTTCGTTTAGAAAGTGAAATAGCAGTATTTAACAATAAATATATCACTTCATATCGTTCATAGTTGGGGCTTTGATTTTGATTTTTCTAAACCTTGATCATATATCTAGAGTACTCATTTTGATTTTGATTTTTGTTTTTCTAAACCTTAAATTGATTTGTTAATTAGGTATTTTCTGGATATCATTTTTGGGTATTTGGATTGCTCTAAAACAGTTCTCCGAAAAACACCATTTCTGTTTCAGAGCTCTCTATATACAATTGGGTTTTGAGTTTTAAGGCTTAATAGAAGTAGTTTTGTTGGTGGGTTGTTGTCATTGGATTTGTTTTTATATCTATATAAACCTTTGATCATAAGAGGAATTATATACATCGGAGCGCTTCTACGTTTGGAGGTAATTTGGTGAGCTGGGTTTGAATTTAGAGGTGAATTCAGGATTGGAAAGAGGAATTATATACATTTGGGTGTGTTGTTTGTTGATAGAATTGAGGTCTATAATGGTTATAATAAATCAATTTTTCAGTTTCAGAGCTCTCTGTATACAATTGGGTTTTGAGTTTTAAGACTTAATAGAAGTAGTTTTGTTGGTGGGTTGCTGTCATTGGATTTGTTTATATATCTATATAAACCTTTGATCATGAGAGGAATTATATACATTGGAGTGCCTCTACGTTTGGAGGTAATTTGGTGAGCTGGGTCTGAATTTGGAGGTGAATTCAGGATTGGTAAGAGGAATTATATACATTTGGGTGTGTTGTTTGTTGATGGAATTGAGGTCTATAATGGTTATAATAAATCTGTTTGTTCCATTTGATTGCTAATCTTTTTAGTCAGGTTGAGTTATTGACTCTTCAAAGGAATAATGCCTTAGCCTTAGGTGCTAAAATACATTCCATTTGATTGCTAAATTATGTTGATTTGTTTGTACCCAATTGTGTTTGTTATTGCTAGAACAAATAGAATTTTTATTGGGTTTTGAGTTTTAAGACTTAATAGAAGTGGTTTTATTGGTGGGTTGCTGTCATTGGATTTGTTTATATATCTATATAAACCTTTGATCATAAGAGGAATTATATACATTGGAGTGCTTATAGCGATCCGTGATTGTGTGTTGTGGTTTATACCTTGTTTCCACCCTTTGCTTCCTTATATTTGAGCTTTGGGATATGTTGAGCGAGTGTGGAACAGGTTGGTTGTGAGTTTGTGCAAGTGGTTGCTACCCAGGTTTTTGCTTCTTCGCTCGAGCGAGGCTTCTTGCGCTTGAGCGAGCCTTGGGTATTTATCTTTTCGTTCGAGCGAGCTTTCTTGCGCTCGAGCGAGCCTTATTTAGTGTGTCTCTTCGCTCGAGCGAGAATTCTTGCGCTCGAGCGTGCGTCTGCGTCTCTTTTAGACCTGAAAAGTGGCATTCTTCGCTCGAGCGAGCTTTCTCACGCTCGAGCGAGCCCTGTACTCCTTCGCTCGAGCGAGCATTTTTGCACTCGAGCGTGTGTCTGCGTTGGTGGGTTGTAGACCTGAAGTCTTGCTTTGTTCGCTCGAGCGAAGCTTCTTGTGCTCGAGTGAGGTCTATTTGTTGTGTCTGGTCGCTCGAGCGATGACTCTTTTGCTCGAGCGAGCTTCGCAGATATCAAATCTCAGCAGCGGGAATTTTACCCCTTTTTCATTATCTTCTTCCTCCAAAACCCTAGATCCGACTCTCTCTCCCTCTCTCACTCCTTCTCTCTAAAAATACTCCATGCTCTAAAGCTTTCCTACCCTTCATCCTTTACAAAAAAGCTAGAGTTTGGTGTGGGCTTTCTTTTGATCCAAGAAAATACGAGTTTGGAGCACCTTGGGGTTTCTCTCATCTTTCCTTTTGAGCTTCTACTTGGAGGTAGGGATTTCTTGAGTTATATATATAGGTTATGTATTGTTGTTGTTGATTTAAAAGTTTCCTTGAAAGATTAGTGTTGATTTTGATTTTGTGACCTAAAATGTGGAGTTTTCAAAATGGGTTTAATCCCAAATCATTTTACTAAACACTAGTGAGCTTGTTCAGTTATTGAATTCAAGAGAATGATTTAATGGGGTTTGTAATGCCCCGAAATAATTCAACATGAACTACCAATAAATAATCAACATTTACACAACAATAACAATAATCTGCCCATCTTTACATAATTACTAATGAGTCTTTACAAAGGTTTTACATGCGGGTATACATTCATCAATACAAACATATGAATCTATAGCATGTAAAGTATCCATTCTCAAAACAATACAATGCCCTTAAGGGCTTACATCTTCCAAGGCATAAGCCTGGTTATACAAAAAAATGGTTTCTACAACCCATACACATTAGCCCTTGGCTCAAAAAGAATTACACAAAATAAAAGAGCTATGTACTCTTCTAAAAAACATCCACGCCCTCAGTTCGGCAGGATTACCACATCTTTACCTGCACCAAATCCTATATGGGTGAGCATAGAGCCCAGTAGAGAATTCTTACAAAGTATATACAGTTATGCATACCCTTTAAAACAATGCAATTGTTAATGCCATGCCATGCATCCTTATAAGAAAGTCCATTTCATGCACATTTAAAAGTTTCTATCTTTCCAACAATTATTTGCAATCTCAGCATTTTTACCAAAATTTCCAATCATTAATTAATAGGGGCGGTAAATACGACACTGGTAATCTCTAGGCTGGTATCTGCAAGTAGACTCTACGAGTACTACCAAACTGTCATTTTTACCGGTATTAACCGGAAGGCTCGACCCCTATCTGCGCGATTTTCTAGTCTTTCACCAAGGACACTCAGGCCAACTTATCAAATTCAACTACACCCCCTATTCGGACTTACCACGTATTTACCCCACTCACATTACCACAGTTCTCATTACAATATGATCTTTCTCAAAATAAATGTCTTTCCAAAACATGTCAAGGTGCATAATAATAATAACTCAATTGAAATATGATGCAATAATTACTATTTTCAAAATATCTCTACAATAATATCAATCAATCATTTCTCATCTCTTCCCTTCAAGTCATTTCACAAAATGCCCAGGTGCCCACCATTTCTCACAACAACAATTTACAACAAATAATCCTTTCAAGGCAAACCACGTTCTTAACACAATTCCAAGATCTTACGAAGTTTCATAA